AAATGATGAGGCGAGCAAGTGAAGAAGAGCTAAATGAGATGAAGAGGTTCTACCAACTCACAGTTGACAATGAGATGCACCAAGCAGTCGTAACAACGAATCGCCATAGAAAGGAGGCAATTGAAAGGAAAATGGTTAAGAAGGATGTGAGGACAATCATAGGCGAAGATGGTTCAAATATGTATGTGGCATCACTAGTAGAGGAGAAGCTAAATGCTTTGGTGGATGACGTCAAGCAGGGGCTAATGGAGGCAGGATATACAGAAGACCAAGTGATGGAGATTATCACAATCTACCGCAAACAACGAAAAGTGTTGAGACTGAAGGTCTCCCGAGTACCATCAGTAAAGGAAGGTGGAGAGATGGAGTCCCAAGCTAAAGTGATTTCATAAAGTGTGGCATTTGAACCTAGTGGCAAGATAAAGTGATTTCATAAAGTGTGGCGTTTGAACCTAGTAGCAAGAATTTGCTCGAGTAAAATCACCAAACGAACCGCCCAAGGGAAACGAACCGCCCAAGGGGAAACGAACCATGGAGTCTTGAGAAGAAGCAAATGTCAAGTTTGGACACGTGAAATATTAGATGCGTAAAATTTTACGTGTATGTCAGAGAAAATTTTCGGCGTAGATGCGCACATCCCTTCATCAATAGTCCCGGACTTGGACAAACACCTTGGAAGACTCGAAACACTTTGAAACACTTTGAAACACTTTGAAACACTCCAATGCATTGGGCAAACACTTCAATACGGCTTATTATATAGAATATTATAAGCCGGGTATATCATATTATACACCGGGTATATCATATTATCAGCGGGGGTTGTCACCCATCATCAGAGCCACTTGCGGGGTGCCCCAGATGATGGCTATGTTGTCCCAGACTCGGTCCCAGCCCTGCATGGGCATGCGGGGGTCCTCTTCCTTAGTCTCCATGACCTCGGAAAGAGGTGCGGTCATCAAAATTGTTGATTCTGAGTGCTTGGGTGAATGAAAGAATCCGATGGTGTGGAATCCTTGATTAGCGGTGGCTGTCCTTTCCAGTTCCAAAGCCAAAAAAAGAGTCTCGGTGGTAGCAGACATCAAGTCCAGCTCCACTATGTACAACTTCTTGGACTCCTGTTTGGGTTTCCAACCTGCGGGCATGGGTGCTCCATATGGTCCCTTCTTTCCATCTTCAGGATCTTTTTGGTTTGGGTTCTGCCAGCAGAAAACATTCCAATGACGCTTTTTCTGACAGAATTTGCAGGGTGCCAGTGGTTCCTTGTTGGGGTCTGGAACCATCTTCTGAGGGCCGTCGCGACCCTTTTTGGGGTTTCCGGTTTTATGTTGAGCTGTCTGCTTAGGGCCTTTATCGGTTCCAGTCTTTTGTGACTTCTTCTGAGCTTCTGCAGCACCGCTGTAGCAAGGGTCTCGCTTTCTGGTGTCATCAGAGCTGAAATAAAGGTGCAGGAAGTCTTTTAATTTGGTCAGGTTCATGATGTTACAGGATTTGACCATGATTTGGATGTCACTGGGCAATTGTTTGACTATTAGGTCGAAATGCTGGTCAGCGGGACATTCTATGTTTGCCCAGTCACCATATGCAAGGTGCCAGAGATGAGTTTTGTGGTCAATGAATGCAAGAAAGCTGCGAAATTCTTTGGGGTTCACATGGCAGTGCACATATTTGGTTTTGCACTTGGACTTGGTTAGGGGGTCTCGGAACTCTCAAAGCAGTTCTTCCTTCCACCTTTTCCAGGTCCACGAGTGAGTTTCCTGGGCTTCCAGAGTGTAAAACCAAGCATCAGCAGGGGTTTTCTCAGCTATCATGGCTAGCAGGAGCTGTACCATCCTGGCATCTGATGTTGCACTAATGTTTTGAAGAAGTTGGACTTTGTTAAGCCATTCTTCAACGTCTTGGTTTCTTTTGCCTGTAAACTCGGGTATGTCCTTTGCTTTCAAGGAATCGACCTTGGTGTTGCTGGCCCACGGGGCTGCTGGCACTTGGATTGGAGGCACCGGACCTGAAAAACTTGGTTCAGTATGCTCCCTTGGTGTGTCCAACATTTCCCATGGGGTTGCAGACTGTTCTCTTGTAGCATGTGCTATGAGAGGTTGTTTGGGCAGTGGGCGATGCACTAGGGCTTCTAAGGCTCATGCAAGGTGCTCATCCACCACTGTCTGACATTCAGAAAGCCTATGAAGCTGTTCCATAAGATTTTGAGTTGCCAACTGTGTTGCAGCAGTCAAGCGGGCAATGTCTTCTTTTAATGCTGCCACTTCAGAGGCCATTGTGGCCAAGTTAGGGGCTTCCGGTTCGACAGAAGTGGTCCCCAAACGCCTCAGGCGTGTTGCAGGAGGGACTTCAATGTCCTCCGCAGGACCCTGACTATGAGTCTGGATCACAGGTGAGCGGCCTCACGTTGGTGAGTGTTCGACTGGCATCATTCTTGGTTTTGTGAAGTCTGTTTCCGAAATGAGAGAAAAGGTTTCTGAGTAGCTACCTGAGTGGATCTTGGTTTGCGCAAGAGTTTCGGTATGACTGAATAAGGTTTTCAGCTGAATTTGAGAGGGGAAGGCAGTTCGTCGTGCTTCTCCACCATGTAATGGATTTTTTGTTGGTAGACTATGGTAAAGACAACTTGGGTCTCCTAGCAGGTTATGTGGGTGTCTGTACTAGGAATTGTAGTCTCTGAATCCTTTCTTTGGGTGTTGGTAGTGACTTGAGGGTGAGAGGCAAGGAGAGTCAGTTAGTTGTGAACTGAGCAGGATTTAGAGGCTTCAGTGTGGGTGATCAGGCCATTGAAGTGCTCTGTTAGGTTCCTGTTAACCTAAGATTGGAGTTGAGAAGCTAGTTGTGGGGATTTAGTGTTGCTACGGCTTCTGCCCCCAACTTATTTTATTGAATTCGTCTTTTTTATACAAGAATATACTATGGTAACATCTACACTGGTTTCCATAACCTTTATTAGGGTGGCGGTGTCCGATATTCCCGTTTCCGATCATTGCCATGATCAATTATGATTGCATAACATATCCTTTGTGCTGCGCTGGTGTAGCCCAGAACCGAGCTTGATCTCAGGGGTTTCGAAGCTTAGGTTGCAATTGCGGAAACCTCAATCATGGTTACCTGATGCCTTTAAGCGAACCGGTTTACCAGAGTCATTCGCTACAAAATGCCATCAATACATACCAACCAAGCTCAACAAGTGTGGCAGCATAATAGCAGCTTTGTTATCGGATCCGATTGGTTGCTGCTGGTTCTGATCACAGTTGCTGTCGGGCAGTCGAGGTCCTTGGCACCAGAGCAGTATTCTCATGGTGGACTGAGATTTGTTGGGCGGATGCTTTGAGTCGAGGATGGGTAAAGAGGAAAGAGGGAAGAGGGAGAAGGTCCCCTTTTTATAGACGTTTGGCATGTGCCTCACCGCAGTTTAAAAAAAAAAAAAAACATTACATGCATGCCACACCGCTGCATGCCACACCAATCTGAGCGATAGAGGGGGTTCTGATTATGCGATATGATTAACCGGATTATCCGGATAACAATGGGTCTTAGTGCCATTTTCAATCACCTCCACACTATGGATATATCCCTGCAATCAAGCCAGTGAACTATAGTAACTTGCATGTCGAATGGAGAGGCCAGGGTGGCCTATTGCACCAGCACAATTGCATTGTCGAACTTGGACGTATTTGGAGTCGAATAGGGTGATGAGATTGACGAAAAAACGAAGGATCAGATGGAACATAGTAGACAATCGATCAACAGAACAGCTCATTACCAGCGGCAGAATAATCGATGGATGCAAGATGTACTCTTATGGACCACATTATTGCATACCATCGCCTCTTGGATCTGAAGATACTCACACATGGTTGAAGTTTGGCTGGAAAAATAGATGACATCTGAGAAGTAGTGATAGCTTCTGCCATATTCTACTTGAATACATCTGTGATGAATATGTTAACGGTTCAAAAAAAGGCTATGATTCCTGGGACGATAATAGTATCTATTGCTGCAATGTATATTATCAACTAGTCGAGTTTGGCCCAAAAATAAACATCACAAAACGCCGCTCAAATCACACGCATGCGATAATATTGGACGCGTAACATTGACCAACTCCAACACTCACACACGCATCGTCCAGCCGCATTTCGACTCCTAATACCGCTTCCTCTCGACATTTTCTTCAGTATCTTCCCGAAGAACTCACATCAAACATAAAATGGTGAGTAAAGGTAACATATGAGAAGGAACATCAGAGTTGGTAAATTGAGCGATCATGGCCACGGCCATCGTGGATGGCGTCAAGCGCGCTGGAGGCATCTCTCCGGACAACTTGAAGACATCTAAGCCATCCAAGGGCATCCATCCATCCATCCTATGCGACAGGTGGATGAGAGTGATGCAGGCAACAATTGGCGACTCTCAATGTCAAAGTGACATGACCATCTTGACGCGCCAAGATGGTCTTCATGGGAATGGGAAAATTGAACCCGGAAATAACGGAGATTGGATTTGGACTTATCGTATACTGGAACCAGCCTCGGCGATAGGGAAATGCACGTTTGCCGATACTGGGCCTCTAACCGTCTTGTTTATTGCTGTAGTCCAGCGGAGTGGGAGTTCAGGATAGTGCCGTGGAGGCATTCCAGGAGCTAAAGTTGAAGAAGAAGTACCGCTATATCATTTACAAGATCAACGACAACAATACCGAAATCGTGGTGGAAAAGACTGTGGAAAGTGCTGACTACGAAGACTTTGTAGCATCCCTGCCAGCAGATCAGTGCCGCTACTGCGTGTATGACTTCCAGTACGACACGGCTGGAGAGGGAATTAGGAACAAAATCCTCTTCTACGTGTGGTAAGTGGGTTAAAGATATTTTCATTGGCCCCTCTAGCAGACGGTCATCTCAATTCGGGGTTGATGTCGGGTCGTTCTTTTTCTTAGGTCGCCGGACACGTCGAAAATCAAGCAGAAGATGTTGTACGCAGCTAGCAAGGACGCTTTGAGGAAAAAGCTTGATGGTATCTACACCGAAATTCAGTGCACCGATCTGTCTGAAGTTAGTCACGACACTGTGTTGGATAAGGTATATATCTATTGAATGTTGTCAGTAGGTTTTGTGGAATAGGGTGATATACTGAAGTTTTTCCTCTAGGTGACGCGGATGACCAGTTAAATGTTCCTTTGAATCGAAAATATGCCCATAGAACTGAAATTGAAGGCTTGGATTTTTTCGTTATTGCTGCAATAACATTGTCATGTTCGCCGAGTGTCGTCTTGAGGCTATCCATATCGAGAATATACTGTAATTATTGTGGCACGCTCGGTGTTCATGGGCATTAGTGGAAATATGATTTTCCAGCGAGTTTCAACCGAGACGCTTTCAGCACAGCAGGCGGCAAAATGGCTTCCAGAACGCCGACAAACCATTGTATTAGCTCAGTTTCGGCTTGGTGGCAGCGAAGGGTGTGCATGAATCAGAGTATTGTGAGAATCAAGATTGTGGCTGACCCATTTGTCTCCGACCATGGGTGGTTGATGCTCACGCGATTTAATTAACGGCGCAATGCCTTCCCTTTCAATCCTTTCTGAAATCTACAGATCTATAGGGCATCTTAAAGGATCATGTACCACTGAGGATGCTTGTTTGCAAAAGTGGCCTTCATCGCGATGGGCTTGCTACGTACGCCTGCATCGGAAACAACGGCGTCTCACCCCTGCAATTTGTTCACCGCCGCTAATGTCTGAGCCAGCAGATCCGGCAATTCCATTTCTATACAAGACTATTGAAAACTTGATCTGTTGGAATGAGGTTAACCTTCGAGCCAACTTCACAGCGAACAATGGCACAACAATACCAACCTGAACTTCTTGATCTCGACCATGACACTTTGCAGTCCAACTGGTTGGACTTTGGGTTTCTTTGTGACAAAGCGTTTCTCCCAAAGCGTAAAAAAGCGCTTGTAGAAGAGTAGAAGCTGCGTCAGTGCCGCATGCAGGATGCGCGCCCCGTTTTGAAAGTTGGAAAAGTTCTGCATCACAGATTGATTTATGCTTGTAAGCGCATTTTTCCAGCACGTATTGAAGTCAGCTGCCACTCTTTCGAATTTCTCTAATATCCAAGCAATAACCACGTCATTCCTCAAGTGCGACTATTGCGTCTGTAACAGTTGTGCTTCACCTTCCTGCAGATTTACAACATTTGGGTCACTCTCGGCCGCAATTACGAAGGTCATTAGTCCCAAGAAGTGAGGCTTTAGCTCTTCCTCCACATATTCGTTGATCTTGCTATCGAGGACACCATTGAAGTGCATCTTCTCCTGTTCGAAAGATGAAGCGGAGTGCTCCTATTGCGAAGATGGGGTAAGCTTCGTCATCTTAACCGAAAAGACGCTACTTACGCTAAGGACAGCCACTACAAGGTCAAAGTTATTGATAAGGAATACCAAACGGCTCTTCTTGTCGTTAAATTCTCCCGACATCCGCATCAGAAGGTGTTCAATCTCTGTTCGCAGGCGAAGCAAGCTAGAGAGACATTAAACGGGTGTACATCAGTACATCTACAACTGTACCAGGAAATACCTATTTATGAGCAAAGCATCATCGTATCCTTGGTTCAAAGTAAGAATAGACGCGGCAAACTCTGCATATCGCCTCGTTACCTTTGTAAGGTGTCTCAGAGTTAGTGAAAATGACATCACTCTGAGCATACAAGTTTCGAATTACATAATGAGGATGGAAATCTTTCGAAGGAAGTAAATTCCGGGGAACAGCCCTTTTGAGGCTTTCAATATGAAGGTCCATAATCGCTTGGAATCTTGGCCATAGAAGCATATTCGTTGCGTTGGCAAAGTTCTCAAGACAAGGAATTCTACGCTTCTGCATGATTCGTATGTTCTGGCTGTTCAGGCGAATACACATCAATATGCCGACCGCATCGAAACTGGTGTCGATATATTGTTTATTGAAAGCCTTCGCTCATGGGTGAGAGGAATGCGTTGAAACCATGGCACTTGGGTAACTGATACCTGAATAAATTTCAGCGTTGGGTCATAGACTTCCCCGAATATGAGTGCCCCCGATTGGCCATCTTTTTTTGACCGCCCATTTTTGCCACGAGGTGCTGCGAAGAATTCAATAGCAAACAAATACTCTGAGGATGCGTTGTCCATGAGCAGTCTTGACACACTTTTGAATATCGCTTCGAATGGGAATTTCTAGACACTCATCATTGAGGATCCCGTACATGTCCTCTTTCAACACGCTGTTTTCTTACCATGTTCTGTTCTTCCGCTATATGCGTCAGGATAATACCAGGATCTGGAGTAGTCAGCACTTGTAGCCGGTCACCGAGAGTGAAAACATTTGATTTATCTTTCAGAGCAGTCTTGTGACCGAATAATCCAGGAAGTCCGGGTAGTCCTGCAGAGTTTGGATGAAATTCACTATGATATGCGCGAAATCTCAACTTTGATTTGAGTAGGTACCCCGTTTTGGACTTTCTTCGTTTGCAATTAGGTCGGACCTATCCCCAATTATCATCTGTAAACGGAAATTGGTCAAGTTCTCAGCAGAACGTGTATTGCTGAATTGTCGAAAATCACGACCTGAACTCTTTGCAGGGACTTCATATACTTATCGAACGAGGCAATGTAGTAATTGCCTACCGTGGTCACATAAAGCGTTCGTATTTCCATGGCCGCCTCGCTGTAGCGTTCCGCCAAAAACCAATACAGCTCTTTATACTTTAACAAAATATTTTGCTGGATAATGGCGATATTTGTATTTGGGGCTCGCAAGGAGTCTATCTTTTTGATAAGGAAGTCTCGAGACTTCTCAGCGGCCTATTCAAATAGAGTAGGTGGTCAGTCGGTGCAAGGATAAGCAAACTGTGAGGTGACACTCCTCACTTTCAGACGCAAGCGTTCCAGTTCCGGTCCTGCATCCTTGAACGCCCGAATATGTTGTCCTTGCTGACTCTTTGAAACGAGGGCACTTTTTGCAGAACTTCAAGATGCTGCAGGAAAAACTCGTTGACCTCGCCTTCGCATATTTTTCTATAAATATAAAACCACATCAATCAATTTTCTCCTCAAATCTAATATACGAAGGACGTATTGCTATAGCACCTAATAAGATCGGGATTGATTACAACGCCATCAAGGACGGTGTTCAGCAATTGCTGAATGCTCTTATAATTTTTGCAATATTGCACAGTCAACAGGATAGTACAACATTCAAGCAAGCTTCCCCACATACCGTACGATTTTTCAGCTTGATACTCATTGAATGCGACTGTTCTTGAAGGATTTCAATTTCAGCGCTCACAGTGCCCAAATCTGAGTGAAATCCGCTCATTAACGTCTCCATTTTCTGTAGAATGTCGTCGCAGGCCTGAAAGAGATAGGGATCGTGGACTAGGGTTAACTGGCGACGTCTTTCGGTCTCGTCAGGCAAACTCACATGAATTTGTTGATGTAAATCGACGAAAGGCTGGCTATTTGTTACATCTAAAAAATATTCGATTGGCGGGCTTCACATTTGCAGCACAGAAGGCGGGATGTGGTCGTACAGTTAAGTATGTGCTCCTGTTCAAGTATCTCCAACTCTTGTGATATGTGTTTGGCGTAATCCCTTAGGTCCGCACCCTATGCAATAGCAGCTACTCTCTTAGGGACCCCTCTCCTGCCCGAAGCATATTTCCACCTTTGTATGTACCTTTGCAAAGGCATCTTTCACTAAGGCGTCTTCCTGAAAAGCTGAGATACGGTCTGGCAATAAAACCCAGTCAACTAAGTATGAGTGAGACAACAGCAATGTCTGCATCTTACCGTCCACTTCGTCAAATGAAAGTTCGTGGGTCGGCGACTGCACAGTCTCAAGTTCATTTGTGGCATGCTGAGCGTGAGTTTGCGTGTAGTGAGGTTATCCCGTCTATTTATGGGGGCACCAACGTGCTCAACGGTAATACCAGGTCTCCAGAATCCAACAGAGCAGCCACCCATTTCTGCCCTCTATCCGACGAAAGAGCACTAGGAATAACTGGCTGTATGGTAGCTTCGCCCGTCGTCTTGAGGGAGGCTGCGGACATTGGTTGCCAAAAAAGCTGGACACCTACAAGTAATATGCGGGCGACGCGTTAACGCGTTAACTTGGTCCAGTAGACATGGCCTCGTTGGATCTCGGCTGTTTCAACGAGAAGGCTATCGTTCTGCTCAAAGGTGGTGAGTGCCAGTTATTCGTGTATGGACAAGTCGATGGATCTGTCAATGGAAGCGAGCCGAGCCTCTCGATTTACCTGGAATGTCCGTCCACTGGAGACGCATGGCACGCCAAGTTCAGCCCAGCAGGTGCTCAATTTATTGTCTGGTACCAAACGTCTCGACCGACCGCTCTGAACGGTTTCATTTTGACAGTTATCGAAGATATCTGCAAAAAAACGGGTAACTTCAAACGGTTCCCTGTCTTCGTGGAAATGCTTCTATCATCACTCAGGAATGTAGGTTCATATTCATATCAATCGGCACAGTCTTAGCACCGAGCTTAGTGACGGGTCTTTCATATGTCTAGACAAACAAGACTGTGCGTCTGGACTTCCTAACATCAGCAGATGTTGAGTCGCTGAAGTCCGGCGAGGTGCCTGAAACTCGTGGTGCTGATTTCAAAGAGCCCGTCCTCTGCCAGGAAAAAGTCTACATGATCTTAACCTATGCGGTTGCATTCGACCGGTAGGTGACGATAGACTCATATACTTTCTTTCTTGGTCCATAGTGCTTGACGGGTTTTTTCATTAGTGTCCACTATCCTCTACCGCTTCTACATGATAAGCAACCCAACTCCCTCGAAGAGAATCGCAAGGGCAATATGAAATTGGGATCACAGCTACAGCACCTAGAGACTATAGCGCTCGTAAGCAGAAGTTGAATGGCATTTGCTACGACACCGTTTGATGTTGACATGGTGCGTATAGCTCATGCGGGAGAATGACAGGCTGAAGCACGAATTAAAACATGTGGCCTGCCAGCCTTGCACGGACTCTAATACGAAGGAATTGCAGAGGTATATAAATCTTTGTAGTTGTGAGGAGCGCAGTCCAACGGTGTGCAACGCTGATCCTCTGTATTTTATTGAACAGCCCGCGGACCGCGCGAGAAAGTAACGCCCATGAATGCTTGAAAGAGATTGAGCGTGACCTGGAAAAGATACGCCTGGAATTCCCCATGATACAAAAGGTAAGCGATGCTCCTCGTGTATTTATATAATTTCAACGTGCTTACGAAACTAGTCTTTTCGCAGATTGCGCATAGATGAAAGTATCTCAAGACTGCATGTCATGATTACCTCGCTTTCCGTATGTTCCCTTGAGCTTGGGTTCGCTTGGCAGATGTTAATGGAACGTGTGTCCCTTGCTCCAATTGACCAGAAAGGCATAAAGGGCGGTTCAGATGATGTTCGGAAGGGTTCTCGCAGGCGCACATCCTCGAGTTCTGAAAGACACGCAATGCACAGCAGCAGTGTCAAATCTGTGCCGTTAGAGCGGAGAGTTTTGAGACGCTCTAACCGTAGCAAGGAGACAGTGACATCTCGCAATAGGTAAATGAATGACCGAGTCAGCAGGTAATCGGAACCGAAGACTGACGATGCAGGCGCAAAAGTGAATATCGCGTTGTCAAATCGCGCCCGTTGCGCTCCCCGCCAGCTTCAATAAGAAAAACTCCCTCGCCCTCCCGCGGGCGTCAACCATCAGGTCTTTAATACGTGAATGGCCCTGCTTGGTGATCCTTCGCTAATTGGGAGCCAACAGGACGAAAATCGAGTCCTTCGGCCTATCGTCGCTTTGATCCGACACTGTATGTATATTCGGCAATTTTGCTCCTGGTGCCTATGACTAATGATGATGGTTCGGTTTAGGTACGTTTTAGAGAGGAATCGCAAGCTGGAAGAGCGACGCGCACGCAGGTTAGCAATTTCACGTATTCGAGTCATGGTTTGCGAATTCACATCGGTGCGCCTGCAGTAGGGAACGTTCCAATAGTTCCACGCGATCAGGTATGTAGGATTACATTGCAGATCACGTCTTGCAGATGCTAAATAAGAGCCATCAGTCAAGTATAGACGCGATTCTGGTGTGTTTCTGGCCCCAGAGACTTGCTTATAACGGAGCGTTTGACTTTCTCCCGTCCGATTCATTTAGCAAGCGCGACTGCGACTACCGGCGCTCGTGCCAGCGGCGTAGGCGGACCTTATGCAAATGGAAAAAATGTAAACGTCTGTGTCATATATGTATTTTATTTCGCATGGCCCACAGTATCACAAACGTGGAAAGCTGATCACGCGACTTTACTTCAACAGTATGACGACGTCAGCAGAAGCAGGTCAAAGTTGTCAGCAAACCGAAAACAGACGGGTGCAACCGCTAGAATGACACTGAGCAAAGATGATTTTGCGGACTGGGATTTGGACACAAATCTGGACACTGTAGATATTGATAACCGACTCGCCAGCTTGTATGACTATATATCCACAGTGAATAACCATTGATCAGCAAACAGATCTTGTACGCTTAAATTCGTCCCCTCTTATCAAAGCTTCTCGGGTTTGCTTAAGGAATTCTCTCGTATATATATATGCTACTCCGAGGTTCTGAGCGACACGTCGGACATTCCCACGCGTTACTGATTACCTTTGTCGAGGGCCAGCTCAATTTTAGTTCGGCTCCTGATAAATGATAAAAAAGGCCATGTCGACTGTTCTCCCTTTAAGATCCAATAGTTCAAGGAAGCTAGGGAATAGTTGCTTGCCTAAGACGATAAAGTAATGAAGACTGTAATACGATAAGTTGCCCTACCGTATGTGGGGTTCGAAAAAAGCTGGTAGAAATCCTGCCAGAGATAGAGAAAGTTACAAAACGGAAGGTGGCTTTCGGATGAAATCAAAGCAAGCCGACCATTGAACTCAAAGGAGGGGCTACAAAGAGTTCAAATGAGACGCAGGCAGTGTCCAGACAACTGTTGGTCCCCAACTTACCTATCGTAATATGACCTTGAGCTCTCTGTTCGAAAAGTGTTTGCAGCGTTCGGGGCATCAGGCCAATTTGCGCCAACTAGGGCATTGAGATTAGTAATCAGACGGCACAAAGAAAGAATGTCGGCACACACCTGGTGTAAGCGATGTCGAATTTCGGAAGACAGAAAGATGAACAGCTTATCTGAGAGACTGTCACCTTGTCCCTGTGGGCATTTCGATAGGAAAGGTGCAATATATGGGTTGGCTAGATGCTCAAATTTAGTAAGAATTCATGTGTTAGCCGCATTTTACGGAGTTGCTGAGCCCGCGCTCCTCCACCTTGTGATAGTATGAAGTGATTCACATTGAACTGGCAGAAGGTCTAGGTAAGCCAGCGAGATGGTGTTTTCCCCTAAATGCGTACAGTACGCACCTGTTCTAAAGCAATATGCTGGTTAGAAGACAAGGCACAACCCTTAAATATGCGAAGTCACAGTAGTGTACCAGCGAGTCTTATTTCCGGAGAATCACTTGCTCATTAAGCCGCAAGTAAGCTCAAAGTACCCATGGCGACTGTAAGGGTCAGCTGAAAGTACCTTTCGCAAGAAGAGTCGCTCCAACTGATGGCTACTCATCTACGTAAATATCTAACTAGACGTCCATTGAGAGCAGTTGAACTCACCACTTGGGCTCCAATGCACTGTAGAAAGACAAACCAGACAACAGCCAGTCAGAAGTCAGATAATTTTGAAATGATACCAGGTGATGCGCGTTGAAAGGCCAGCCTGACAAGTATTGCTACTGTCGCTGGTCATAGAGCATTACCAATGTTACCGTAATTATCCTTTGCCAGTAGATCGACCGACTCGTAGAGACCCATGACAGCCGCTGGCAATACTGAGTTTAGTGTCCCTCCAAGCGTCTCAGCTACTGAACAGCCAACCTGATGCGCATGCTGCACTCCAAATTAACTGTGGGCAAAGAATTCAAGATCAGTATTCCAAGACGCCCTGGTTCCGCGCGTTCTGTTTATCACCACTCACCACATTTGGTGCAGTCAGGTAATTCAAAAGTCGCGGTACCTCATACTTCCGTGTGGATGCGACACTGTCGGTGATCACAAGATGAGCTTGTGGACACAAAGTTGGGACGCCGGACACTAACGTGATGTTCAACACCCGTTTGCTGCGCGCATACGCCTCCTCTGAAGTGGAGACCATTAGGGCTAGCCATACGGCTGAGGCGACTAAATCATACCAAATGTCAGATCCTGCGTGGGCATTCAATAATCTTAATTTTATGTCGCTCGCTCAGTTAGCTTTATGTCTGCTGAGGTGACTCACTCCCACATTACTACGGACACAATCCTCCAGGACCTTCACATCCTTTATGAAACCAAATAAACTCGCCGTATCACTACGGGTTTGCATGCAAGAAGATACCGGTTCGTACCATCAAGTACCCTGGCAGAAATGATCTCATATCAGCCATTTTGGTCGATGAGAGTGAGCTCGACTGTTCACCCACCATATTTCAGAAGTCGGGTGATTTTACGGGTGATGTTGCCTTTGATTCCTTTCTTAGCGAACGCTTTCAAGTTGATCCCGCCCGGTTGAAAGATACACTGCGGAATGACGATGACTACGGTGCCTGGCTGTCCAAACATCTCATGTGCTCTCACCGGTAAGTCCTGTTCAGTATGGACGCAGACTAAAGCCGCAATCAACGCCCCGACAGATGATCCACTGATGATCCGAGGAAGAAGGTGATGTTCGCTTAGAGCTTTGACCACACCTAGGTGAAACAATCCTAAATATTATTTTTCTAGTCAGTAAGTGGTAGCGGCAGTTGGATCGTCGCTGATGGCCCTGACCAAATGTTGCCCCTCCTTCCAGTAGCAATGCTGTATTTCCAAAGCTCTGACGGGTATCATGAAAAAATTCCACTTTTTGTTGAGGACTGAGCACCTCAAAATCGTTACGCTGAATGTACTGCAGCTGCGTTACAACTTGGTTCAGATAATCCTCAATCAGACTCTTTGTCCTATTGTACTCGTTCAGTTCAAAAATGCTGTGAGAATTCCTTCGCTGGGCACTACCCTAAGTATGATCGAGAAAACAATCGTGGGTCGCCAATACCGCCGAGATTCCGAAGAAGCCCTGCACCGAACGACGGTGAATGGCCATAATTTCTTCCAATCATTTCGTCTATCACGAAAAGTAAAGAAAGGTACCTGATCGGAGCAAGTAAATTAATTCTGCAACGTCTCCGCTATCCCGAACTTCCGCCAGATGCTCCAATCTGAACTGAATTAATTTATAGTCGTAGATGTTGGAGGTAGCGTCTGCCTTCCACACATCGTTTCCTGTAGACATATGAGAATCAACACGACTATAAGTTTCTCAGCGTCATATGATCATCGGACCTAGTATTCTGATGTACTATTAGCGCTCATACCAAGATTATATGGATATACGCCTTCCTCCGACTCACATATCAAGATCGGCCGCTATCATTTCCCATTCCGCATACGTCTTTGCCTGGCTGAGTCGCTCCCGTAGACTATCTTCAGGTTTAGTACGCATTAGATATCCAGAAACTCCCTTCGAACAGAGGACGTCAGTTCCCAGAATTGTAGATCAGGTCGGATTCAACCACAGACTCTCAACCAGCTGCATGCAATATTGGAAGGAAATGTGGTCATGTCACTGAGACGCAATCTGACGGTTATCAGGCGGTTATCAAATGTCGGCTCCATGCTATTCGACATCCTGACATACTGGTAATGTCATCTAATCACCTGACTGGGGCATGGTTGGATTACAGAGCCCATCTGCTTAGGCCCACTCCATTTAGAAAATTGAGGACAAAACTGTATTTTGGCAGATAACCCCACCTGACCCACAGTATTGATTAGATATTATTACCATATATTTTATAATACATATAAGACCTATATTATATCTTTTATTTTTATTCTTACCAACATGGAGCTATACTTAGATAAATATAGTTGTAACTTAAATATAAAGGATTACCTTATAAATTAAGCAGAATGGCATAACATGAATTCAGTAATAGCCCAGTGCATACTCCAGCCTCCCCCAACCTTTGTTTATGGTTTCCATACTTTAGCCAATTGCTTATATTCTTCAGCCATACTCAGCCATGGTCAGCAGCTTCAGCAATACCTTGGCAAACATTACCTGAACATCTCTGCCACCCCAGACCTCCTTATGCTTTCTAATGCTGCTTATAGGAGGATCTATTATTCAAGTACTTCAGAACAGACATGTGCAGGAATAACTTTAAAGTCCATTTTCCCTCATGTTCTGACTTAACCAAACCAGATGTAAACTGCTTGATAATATACCAGCATGCTCCCATATAATTTATAAATTACATACTGCCATTATATTAAAGTCTCAACAATATTATAGTTAAAAGCAGAAGAGATACAGAGTAATTACCAGTAGCCAGCCTAATTATGTAGCTTAGGAGGCATTATCCATTGCCCAGCAACCATAGAACTACAGTTTTGATAAAGTGTTCTGCCAAGGAACTTGCCAACAGAACTAGTATAAATATATATTTTATTGACAGTACTTTCTTATTGCTGGTGGATACTACCAAAGCAAAAGCAAACTTAGAAGTTGCTCTTCTCATACTGGAAACACATCAAACACTACTATTGTCTGCCATGGTAAATGATCCTATATGATATGATGTCCTGTGGTGTCAGAAAACTTGAGATTCCCAAGTACTCTGTTCCTTATTTTGTATGGTATTTTCACAAAGATACAGGGGTAGAAAGTCAGGTGATAGCTATGGGGTTTTTCTGTAATTTTTGCACTTGACACCTCTTTCTTATTCCAGGACATTGATGCATACTTCTTTAATAACTGATTTACTTCATAATGGCACCCCTAACTATGGTTCTCTAACCTAAATACCCATTCAGTTCCCTTCACTAGTTCCCACAGCCAGATGCATGATTTGGCTACCTGATCTTGGTTTCTGATTCTAGCTTCCTGATTTTAGTTCTCCAATCTAGTAACTAGTTCTAGTTCTCTGATCCAGTTACATTATTCTAGTTCCCTGATCTAGGACCCAGTCCAACTCTTGTTTGAGGATCCTGACCTCATGACCTGATCCAATCCTCCTGGCATGTACCCTGAAACAGTTCATTACTAATATATCTGCAACTCTTAATGATCTGTTTACTAATATCTAACAATTTTCATGATGAAGCCTACAGAGTACCAATTTTTTCAGTTGACCCATATGCCACAGCTGCTCTAACCCTAACCCATGGGTGTGAACTGCAATTTGATGCACCAAGCTTTCCAGCATAATCTTCAACACTCCAACTCAGGGAATCACAAGTGTGAATGCATAGGCTTATTATACCACAAGATTTGAGGTGCTTGACTTTAGGCAATGCCTTAGTGAGACATCTGCTGTCATCCATCTTGTTGGCCTGGAGAATGATGCTCTTGTTTGCTCTTGTTTATCTTCTGGAAAAGTCTGGACAACATACAGGCAGTTATGTTGAGATTCAGGCTTAAATCACACTGTATGATCTATAAATCATGTGAGATCATGTTGGGATGTCATTAGACAGTTCACATCTGATTTGGCTAAGTTACAATGTGGGGAATTGGACTTAGAGTAACCAGAATGATCACAGATGCGTGTGTGAATGATTTAAAGGGGTAAATCATCATGTAAGCACTCTTAGAAGGTCTGGAAGGTTTGTGGTGATCTAGATCTTCAGGTAATGTTTGCCAAGGCATGGCTGAAGCTGCTGAGCATTGCTGAGCATGGCTGAGCATGTAAACAAGTGGGCTGAAGCATGCAAACAGTAAACAAAGGTGGAGGGAGGCTGGAGAATGTACTGGGTTATATAAGGGGGACTTTTGAACATCTCTGGGTTTGTGATGGTCTAGATCTTCAGGTAATGTTTGCCAAGGCATTACTGAAGCTGCTGAGCATTGCTGAGCATGGCTGGGCATGGCTGGGCATGTAAACAAGTGGGCTGAAGCTGCTGAGCATTGCTGAGCATGGCTGAGCATGTAAACAAGTGGGCTGAAGCATGCAAACAGTAAACAAAGGTGGAGGGAGGCTGGAGAATGTACTGGGTTATATAAAGGGGACTTTTGAACATCTCAGGATTAATACAAGTGTGTTATCCTACAAGTTACTGCACCCGGAAGTCTTACTAGCAGTCACAGCCATTACTACGCCTTTCAGAGGTGATTTCTATGTGGGAAATCAGTGTTCCAAGCACTAAGTTTCAATATGTTTGTGGTGCCATTCAGGTACCACATGATCCATTTGACTGCTATCCAGTGCTGATGTCCAGGGTTGGAAAGGTACTGGCTAACTGATCCAACTGCTGCTGCTATGTCTGGTCTGGTGCCCAGCATTGCATAAATGAGACTTCCAACAGCACTTCTGAAAGGAACCCCATTCATTTCTTGCTGTTCTGCCTCAGTTTGTGGTGACATGGCCTTGGTGAGCTGCTGGCCATTCTCTAGTGGTGTGGCAACTGGTTTGCTGTTGCTCATATTGAATTTCTTCAATGTTTGACCGAGGTACCGCTGTTGGGAGAGCCAGATTGACCTGTTGGCTCTGTCCCTGACCACTTGGATGCCGAGAAAATGCTCTAACTGGCCCATATCAGCCATCTTGAACCGCTTCTTGAGTTCTTCTTTGAGTTTTAACAACTCCTGGTTGTCCTTTGATGCGAGAATAAGGTCATCCACATACAGGACAAGGTGGGATGCCCATCTTCTTGTTGATGTACAGCCCGTGGTCTGATTCACACCTTTCAAAGCCAAGTTCTTTGAGTTGCCCATCAATGACTTTGTTCCAGGCTCTTGGAGCTTGCTTTAACCCATACAAAACTCTTCTTTAGCTTGCAGACAAGTCCTTTTGCCGTGGCAAAGCCTTCTGGTTGGTCCATGTAGATGTCCTCCTCAATGGTCCCATTCAAGAATGCTGTTTTGACATCCATTTGGTGAATCTCCATGTCCTTCATGGCTGCTAGTGTCAGAACCGTCCTGATGGTTGCAAACTTGACTACTGGGGCAAATGTCTCCTTGTAGTCCAGTCCTTCAACTTGGGAGTATCCTTTGGCTACCAGTCTGGCCTTGTAGCGCTCTACAGAGCCATCTGACTTGAGTTTCAGCTTGAAAACCCACTTGCAGCCAACTGTGGATCTTCCTGGTGGTAGTTTGACCAAGTCCCACGTCTGATTCTCCATCAGAGAGTCATATTCTGCTTTGACAGCCACCTCCCACTGTTTGGCATCATGTCTGGTCCTAGCTTCAGCCAGAGTGCTGGGTTCTTCCTGTGGAACTTCCCCAATGGTGAAGGCAAAAGCCAGATTTGACTGGGTTGGCTTTGCAATCCACCACTCTCCCGGTGGTTTGTGAAATCTGGCACTCTTCCTGCTGAGTTCTGGCACTTCCTCAACATCCTGGAAGTCGTCCCCATCATCTTCTGATGCTGAAGAGTTGTCTGGAGTGATGCTAGATGGTCTCTGAGTCTCTTGAACCGTCCCTAGCCCTTCTTGGTTGTCCAAGAATGAAGGCTCCCCTCCCAGAGGCATCTGTAGCTCTTGGTCTTGCTGTGGTACACTCTGCAGTCGCTGCTGAGTGCTCCACATCAAGTTTTCATCAAAGATGATGTCCCTTGACATGACAACTTGGTTCATTTCAGGTACCCACAGTCTGTAGGCCTTACTCTGAGTGCTGTAGCCGACCATGACTGCCTTCTTGGCCTTCTCATCAAGTTTTGACCGCTTTTCCTTTGGAATATGAGTGTAGGCCACGCAGCCAAACACTCTGAGGTGCTGGAGATCTGGTTTACCGCCTGTAAACTCTTGAAATGGTGTTGATTGGTTGCTGAGTGCTGCAGTGGGGCTCCTGTTCCTGAGATAGGCCGCTGTCATGATTGCCTCGCCCCAGAACTTGTGGCTGAGTCCACTGTGGTGCAGCATGCACCTTCCCATTTCCACCAGCGTCCTGTTCATCCTCTCAGCAACACCATTCTGCTCTGGTGTGTAGGGGGTGCTGAATTGCTGCTGAATTCCCTTCTGTTTGCAGAATTTCTTGAATTCTTCGCCCACATACTCTCCCCCATTGTCTGATCTGAGAGTTTTGATCTTCTGCCCCGTGAAGTTGGTTGCCCAGGCCTCAAACTCCTTGAATTTGCTGAGAACCTCACTCTTCTCCTTCAAATGATAAACTGCTGTCATCCTTGACTTGTCATCAATGAATGTGACAAAATACTTTGCCCCACCATGACTTGGTGTCTTCATGGGCCCACACACATCACTGTGAACCACCCCCAGCAATAGAGCCGCTCTAGCTGCTTCTCCCTTTGGAAAGGGATGCCTGGTGATCTTTCCATGGCACAGGCTTCACATGGTGATGTTTCTGTGTGATTCTTGACCTCCACCCTGCTTCCCAGCTGGTTCCTAGCCAAGATTTTGATGCTGTTGACGTTCAGGTGTCCTAACCTGCGATGCCAGAGGTCCACACTCATTCCAGAGGCTATGTTTGCATGTTCTCTTGCATGAAACATGTATAGACCGCCGCCTAGAGTTCCCTGGATTGCTTCCTGACCGTCTGAAGTCTTGATACAGCATCCCTTGCTGCCAAACTCAACTTTGGCACCGTTTTCAGTGGCTCTTCTTACTGAAAACAAGTTCTTTTCAAGCTTGGGAACAAACCACACGTCTCTGAGGGTACAGAATCGGTTTCTGCCTGTCTCAAGTGTGAT